ACTGACAATGTATACACTGGTTTTATTATAAAAATAAAATCAATTATTCACAAAAGGTAAAGTCTTACCTGTCAAATCAATATGCAACTTGCCGATATTTTTAGCAATATTGAACTGATCTTTTGCTTTTTTATACTCATAATAATATAAAAATATATATGCACATTCCAGATGGAATTGAATAGCCAAATATTGACCCGAATCACCTACAAACAGATTGTCTAGTTTCATCACTGCAAGACAAAAGGTGAAATATTGAAAAGTAGAATAAATAAAATGTTGAGCCTACAATATTAAAGAATATATTATATAGCTTCTGCTCTTGAAGAATTTTAAATGTGCAAAGAAAGCAACATAAAAATAATAAGAGCTAGCATTCTTGGAGGACTTAGCAGCTAAGAACATTATACACATTGCTTCTTTTATTCTATAAGTCCTAGGAGAACTGATCATAACCTTGGTCTTTAGCTTAGAATGCTTCTCCTAATCATGCTACGAAAATATGGCAAAGAAGGAGGTACTCATTCAGAGTACTGAATGAATCTATAAAGAACATAGAAAATCTCATGAAGGGGAGGTTAGCTTAGTATACCTAAAAATTTTTTCCCTTAAAAGAAAAGAAGAATCATATATACATCCATATACATCTAAGACAATTACAAGTATAGAATAGAGAATGAATCAATATTGTCTTCACTGTCAAATTCTGACCTATTTCTCTAAACACCTGAGATGAAAAAATGGGAGATAACAACTTCTAATGTAAGCATCTGAAATAAAATGACTGTCAAAATTAACAAAGGAGATAGTACAACACCACACACCAGGTTACAAAGAAGTCTAACAGAACAACTCATTCAACTGATTCCCAAAACCAGAATTCCCTACTACAATATCCCTGAGAAGCCATCCTTCACATTGTTTATAGTACTAGAATAGTCAGCATTTCACCAAGCAGTCTACAAGAATGAGTGCACAATGAAGGAATAGAAAAAGTACTTCAGGGAGTTGGAAGGAGGATAGAAGTGTAGAAGTGATGCTGCAAAAGCCTGGTGTACTTCATCAATGAGCCATTTGGCTACAGCAAAACACTTAATAAGCAAAGAAAGAGATACCCCTTTGTCCTACCATAAACTAAAATTAAAATGGGCCGGAAAAACAAAGACAGTGTTTTTCTATTTCCTCCCAGTCCCTTAAAATAGAATCTCTGGTCTCTGAAAACAAGTCAAGATATACTTGTCTCACCTCAAAAGACACATAGGCATTCAAACATGAACTTCTCACCGTGAAAACCCCTCAGTAGATTTCATCCATGCAAGTCAACTTACAAAAAAGCTGAACCTAATAATACCCAATGCTTCTCGCGAGGGCTGCTTTCTCTTAATTTTCATAACTTGTTCTGCTCATTATTTCTGAGGATCCAGACATTACTGTAATAAATAAAATAATGTTCTATGACCTTAGCACAACTAGAAAGTGAAACAATCTTGATTGTTTCATTGTCTATAACAATAAAGCAATCTCCTACAACAGGTTCTGGATACAAAAAATCAAGGGATGTGAAGGTAAGCCAAGGTTTTTAAAAATCATCTTTCAAATATCACAAAAAGGCCATATCTGCATTTAAATTACACAGGTCTAGGGAAGACTATCAAATTCAACTGTCTTAATAACACAGAAAATAAGTCACATAAATGCATAAATTTGGTCTTATGTATCTACCTTCCCTCCTACATACCTACATAAATTCCTACCAACCTATCCACATATGTATGTATATATCATCAGTACAACTGGCTGTGACCCTGTACTCCTATGCTTTCTCTGCACATGTATTCAGGAGTCAACTATTGTCAGATTAAATAAAGTAGGGAAATAGATCCTCATTTTTTTTTTCTTATTTTGTCTACTTTAAGAAGTAGCTTAGGAGCTGGTGTTGTGGCTCAGCGGTAGAGCACTCACTTAGCACATGCGAGGCCCTGGGTTCGATCCTCAGCACCACATAAAAATAAATAAATAAAACAAAGGTACTATGTACAACTAAAAGAAATAAATATTTAAAAAAAAGAAGAAGTAGCTTAATCTGCAGATTCCAGCAGTAGAGTCAACTGCCTCCTAAAATACTGCCTTTAATAAAATACTTTAACAAAATACTGCCTTTAATAAAAACACTTAAAAAGCTAAATTTAAGTTTTCTATATACTTTCATGTAAATGGTCATTACAAAATACGTAATTTGTTTTTCCCATTACTGTGACTCAAACCAGGACCTAGTACATGCTAGGCAAACACTCTACCACTGAGTTATATACCCAGCCCTTAAAGTAAGTATTCTTCAGTGAACAAAAACTAAATAAAAATACAACCTTAGGAAGTGAGTATGCAGTGCAACCATTTTTTCCCCTGAAGCCATCTGCCAAACCCCAGGGTTCCATTCTACAGCTACAAGGAGCCTCAAAGATGAGGGATGAGGGGTGGACCCGCCCAAAGTAAGCAGTCCAGGAGCTCTACTCCTAAGGCTGAAAACCAGAGAATTATACTTTCAGTGTACAGTTAAAATAGAGATAAGGCTGCCACACAAAGAGGACAGACGGCAAGCAGCACTGTGTGAAGGGAAAAAGACTCATCCTAAGGGCTGTGGCTGGGGCTGGGGCTCAGTGGTAGAGCGCTTGCCCAGCATGTGTGGGACACTGGGTTTGATTCTCAACACCGAATATAAATGAATAAAATAAAAGCCCATCAACAACTAAAATAATAGTAAAAAAAAAAGAGTCATCCTAAGAACCAAAATAATAACCCAGCTGTCACGAAAATCTGTAGGCCAAATTCAGGTATCTACATAATCCATGATTTCTCAAGCTAAGCATACAGGTTCCCAGAAAAGTGGCAGAAACGAAGGCCAAACCTCTTCTGAAACAATGCAACTTCAATCAGGATTCAAAGAATTACCCAGGGGCTGGGGATGTGGCTCAAGCGGTAGCACGCTCGCCTGGCATGCGCGGGGCGCTGGGTTCGATCCTCAGCACCACATAAAAATAAAATAAAGATGTTGTGTCCACTGAAAACTAAAAAATAAACATTAAAAAACTTCTCTCTCTCTCTCTAAAAAAAAAAAGAATTACTTTCCAAAAAACATTAGCTCATAGAAAAGAAAAACAAAAAAAGAAAAAGAAAACCAAAAAAAAAGCCATAGAACCTAAAAAATAAAGTACTGACAACCCGAAAGTTAGCAGAAACAAAAGAGAAAAAGCCCCTAAGAACCTTCAGAATCTGAAATTACAAGATATAGTACATGAAATATTTAATAAACAACAAGAAATAAAAAATTAAGCCGAGCACAGCGGCACAAGTCTATAATTCCAGCCACTTGGGAAGCTGAGCATACATAAAGAGAAATCCATCCCTAGTCCTAGCATAGTCAAGTGAAAGAATCACAAATCCAAAATCTTCAGAATAACAAAATGAAACTGATGTACTACTCACAAGGGAAAACAATTAGCCAATAACTGACTTCTGCACACCAACAAAGGGAATCAAGAGAAAACAATGATCATCTTCATGGTGCTACCTAGAACTTTTAGCCAATGCTTCCAGAAGCAGGGTCAAATAATAACATCTTCAAGCAAACAAAACCACAGAGTTTATCACCAAGATGATAAACTTGTGGAGTAACTGCTACATCACTTTAAGTAACTTATAGTATAGAAAAACAACATAACTTTTCAGTTTTGCCTCCCCTAAGCAGAAAGAATAACATTGCCCACAGGCAGATAGGAAAAGAGCCAAAGACAGCAACCTAACTTTGCAGTTTCAACCCTCAAAAGATTGTCCATCTTTCAAGTTTAGAAAGTAAGAAAGCTGAGTCACTGTACAAACAAATTTTAAGAAAGAGTTGAGGCATTTATCTATTTTTGAAATTTTTGATTAAGAATAGGAGTTTAAGCCAGGGATGGTGTTACAACACCCATAATTCCAGCCTCTCAGAAGGCTAAGGCAGAAACATCACAAGTTCAAGGCTAGCCTCGGCAACTTAGCAAGAGCCTATCTCAAAGTAAAAAAATGGCAAGGGTAGGGAACATGGCTCAGTAGTAAAGCACCCCTAGGTTCAATCTTTAGTAACCCCCAAGTATTCAGAGGAAACATTTTCCAATATTAATTAATCTACTGATGAATATATGCAAAAATCTGAAGAGTAAAGAACAATGAAAAGATAGAAAAATCATTGTTTCACCAAAAGCAATGATTATCCAAGTTATCCAATTGACATTCCCATAAGAAGCTGAATCTCATGAATATTATCTAGACATGCATAAACAAAAGCAAAGAACTATTTTCAGATAGTTCTGCTCTCCATAAAGACAGATACAGAAACAACAGTAGGTATGCAAAATAGTCCAAAATGTATCTAAACTCACAAAGTGAGGAAACACGATAGCTGATAACTTGATCAGACTACAACTAGAGTTACAATGACACCCACTATAAGATCTGGTACAAATAAACTAACAAAAGTGTGATCTTAAGCAAAGAATTACATGATTTCTTTGATCAATACATGGTTATTGAGCAACTACTATAGAAACAGAAACAACTGAAGTTTACAGCACAATCATCAATAAAACTGACCAAGGCCACCTTACCTAAAACCATTAACAAATTCTCACTGCTGTTAGGATAAAGACAAATTCCCAAGCACGCCCCATCCTGTCCTACAGTCCCTGACCTCTATCTCCCACACAGTTCTCTCTCTGCTCTAGCTACAATGACCTTCCTTCAGGCCTTCAGACAAATGATACTAGCCTTCATGGTTCACAGAGGCACTTCTTTTTAACATCCAAAGTACAAAGTAAGTCAGAAGCTTGGGTGTAAGACAGAGCATATCATGTTGAAGATGAGCGGGTGGCAGTGACAGAGCCAAAATCAGTTCCAGAACCTAAGGAGAAAGTGTTCCAGAAGGAAGTGTATCTTCATACATCACCACACCTGAAAAATCTGATCCAGCTGCAGAGATGGCAGCTGAGTCATTGCCCTTCTCCTTCGGGACGGTGTCCAGCTGGGAGCTGGAAGCCTGGTATGAGGATCTGCAGGAGGTTCTGTCTTCAGAAGAAAATGGGGGGACTTATACCTCACCCCCTAGAAATGAAGAGGAAGAATCAAAAACCTTCACCACTCTTAACCCTGCATCTCTGGCTTGGCTGGCTGAGGAGCCAGGACCAGCAGAAGTCACAAGCATCTCCCAGAGTCCTCGCTCTCCAGACTCCAGTCAGAGCTCCCTGGCTCAGGTGGAAGAGGAGGAAGACCAAGGAAAAACTAGGAAATGGAAACAGAGTGGCCAGTGGCCAGCTCGGGCCGGAAAGCAACGTATGAAGGAAAAAGAACAAGAGAATGAAAGGAAAGTGGCACAGCTAACTGAAGAAAGTGAACGGCTCAAGCAGGAAATAGAGAGCCTGACTCAGGGAGTAGAAGCCACACACAGTGCTCTAATTGACCGAATGGTTAATCTACACCAAGCCTGAACAATTGGAACCATCACTCCCCAACTGGGGCCACTACCTACCTTACTGTGAAGGGGCCACTGACCACCTTCACACCAGTGTCAATGATGTAACCCTCAACCACATGTCCAGTAGGGGGAAGGATTGGGGGAGACAAAAGGAAAGGGTCTCAGCTTGTATGTAGAGATAATACATTATTTATTAACCATCCATATCCATTAAAGACTTTCTATGAGCCAAAAAAAAAAAAAAGTACAAAGTAAGCTCACTATCAAGACTATCCTGTTGGGCTGGGGATGTGGCTCAAGCGGTAACACGCTCACCTGGCATGCGCGGGGCGCTGGGCTCGATCTTCAGCACCACACACAAATAAAATAAAGATGTTGTGTCCATCGAAAACTAAATAATAAATATTTTAAAAATTTAAAAAAAAAGAAGACTAACCTGTCATCCATATATAAGATGATGCTTATCTGATTCTCCTATAGGTCCAAAACCCTTATCAACAGTAATGACATCCAAAAAGCTCTGAAAACAAAGTTTTTTAATCTGACCTGACCTCATTTAGCCAGAAAAACTTTTTATTTTATTTTTTATTTTTTCAGTACTAAGGATTAACCCCAGAGATGCTCTTCCACTGAGCTACATCCCCAGATCTTTTTATTTTTTTAATCTGAGAGAGGATCTTGCTAAGTTGGCTTCAAATTTGCAACCTTCCTGCCTTAGCTTCCAGAGTCACTGGGATCTACCATACTCAGGTAGCAGGAAAACTGGATGTGAATGGATGGGGTAGAACTAGCCCTTCCGATAAAACTTTGCAGTAGGAAAAGGGAAAGGTATAAATTAGATGAGGCAGCTTTTGCTACTCAAAGGAACCAAAGGGTCCTGTTTGCCTCACTAAACATGGCAGGAAAATATTACAAGCAGTCCAAAGCTCTCCTGTCAATGGAGGACTGGGTGAAAAAAATTATAAAATATTCACACACTGGAATATTGTACAGCTGTTAAAAATAAAGAAGTTTATAAGCCAAGTGCAGTACTACTAATACATTCTGGTAGTCTCAGCTACTCAGGAAGCTGAAGCAAGGACAGCCTGGGCAACACAGAAAGATTCCATTGGGGGCGGGGGTAGGGGTGGGGTCTAGACTAAACCAGAAATTAATAAAACCAGTAACTAAGGAGAAAGAGAGAACAGGGTAGAAGGGAAACAAACAGAAGGGAGACTTCTCTAAATACACCTCATTATGTAGTTTTGACTCTAGAATGATGTAATTGTTTTACATATTCAAAAATTAAAGAAATAAACGAAAAAAGTATTCCCTAAAAATTGAAAACAAATGGAAAGAAGTAACCCTTATTTCAAATAAGCATTAACCAACTCTAATTTATACCCCCCCAAAAAATCCTCTTCCTTCTGACCTCTATGTATCACCAGCTTCATTTCCTACTGCTGATCCCTTCAATTTTTCTATCCCTCTCCTGCCTCTCTTTCCCAAGTATTTCCCTCTCTTCCATCTGTATAACCTTTAACTACATCTATTAAGTTACTATATGTTCTTAGAATTGTGTTAGATTGCCAGGTGCAGTGGCACATGCCTGTAATCCCAGAGACTCAGGAGGCTGAGACCAGAGGATCTCGAGCTCAAAGCAAGCCTCGGCAAAGGGCAACTCAATGAGACCCTGTCTCTAAATAAAAACACAAAATAAGGCTGGGGATGTGGGTCAGTGTTGAGTGTCCCTGAGTTCAATTCCTGGTACTGGAAAAAAAAAAAAAAGCACACTAAAGGGCTGGGGCTATAGCTCAGTGGTAAAGTGCTCGCCTAACACCTGTGAGGCACTGGGTTCAATCCTCAACCACCACGTAAAAAATAAATAAATAAAATAAAGGTATTGGGTCCATCTACGACTAAAATAAATTATTTATATATATAAAATTATGGCACACTAAGCTAGGCCAGGTGGGACATACCTGAAAGCTCAGCTCTTTGGGAGGGTGAGGAAGGAGGATCTTGAATTCCAGGCCAAGTAGGGGCAACACAGTGAGATCCCATCTCAGAAAAAAAAAAAAAAAAAGGCACACTATACCACCTTCAGTTCTACCTCACAGAGTTGTTATAAGGAATAAACTAGTTAAAGATTCAGAACAGTTGTACACACCCTAGAAATGTTAGCTGCATTATCATTACTGGTTACTACACTGCCGATTAGCTTAGAATTGTAATGGAAAGAGTGAACAGGACTTGGACTCAGAAACTCCAGGACATAATTCTGGCGCTCGGGCAACTTCTGAGACTTGATTCTTTGTCAGATGAGTTAGTTAGACAAGATGATCTCTAAAGGGCCTTTCCAAAGCAAAGATTTCAGACCAGGATAAGTGTTTAGGAATGAAAAAGAGGGATAGATATGGAACCCTTAGGGAAGAACTAATAAGATTTAAGAACTGGCTAGATATGCAGAAGTGATGGAAAAAAGTGAGTCAACTATGAACACAAAGTTTTAAGCTTTGGATGACTCAAGGTTTCAATAAAAAGAGGAGCATGTTGACCCAATAGATATATATTTATTATTGTAATAAATCTGTAGGTTCTTCATGGAAATTAATATTCATGACCTTCTGGATTAAAATCTCTTCTCATGAGATTATTTTAATGCTATGTTAAAATGAAACCCCTACCAATAATTATAATTACAGATAATCATATATGTAGTACATTTAATAACATTCATTTCTAAGTATCAAATTTATGAAAAATAAATCAATGTATACATCAGTCACCAAGACACTAAGCTCTTGAACAACTCTGAATGTGGAAACAATCTAACCTCAAAGTCACACAGCTGCCTAGAGATGTCAAAGCAGAACACACTGACAAAACATTTTAACCTGTTTTCTCTAAGTGACTTTATGACTTCATTTCCAAGCAGCTAAGCTGTAATATTCCACTTTATGCACTATATGGAACATGTTTTCAGTATCAGATCCCACAATAAATTATTGTGGGCCCTTAAGTAGTCTCTAGAGAATTGTGGTTCCATTTAGTATGACATTCAAAAGAATGCCTTAGACAATGCTGAGGAAAATTTTTTTTTTTTAAGATTCTAACCTATTTCTATCACAGTTGTGATCAGACCAGCAAAGAAATGCTGACATTCTAATAGTCACTATTTCATTAGGTTATACTGATATAACCTTCCTGGACAAAAATTTAAAGCTCACAGTTGTTTATAAAATCTTTTGCATATGTTTCATACACTGAAAAAAACCCTGCCAACTTTTTGATGACCCTTCAAGGGTAACATTTCAAATATAATGGATCTCGAACAGTATTTCAGTTATGACTATTTGGTCAATATTTGGGTCAAATCCCAGAACAAAACATTTTAAAAATAAAATTGTTTATGAAATACCATAGTTTAATAATATCTACAGACCTAGTTAGACATAGCCAGAATGTCTAATTATGTCTAGTCACCAATTTATGACTAGATAAAATAAAAAATGTTGTTGATTAGCCTAGAACAGCCACATAAAAAAAATTCTTAGTCACAAGGCAAAGCAAATGATATGCTGAAATATATTGCAGAAGAGAACTGAGGCCACTTGGGGAATGAGTCACATAGAGTCATATTTTCCAGATATCTTGGTTAACTATTTCTGTTTTAAAACTTAATTTTAAATCTAAGAATAAAATTACATACCATCTGGTTCCTACCTTTTAAAAAGAAAAATATGTGCCAGGTATGGTGGCACATATCTGTAATCCTTGAGACTCAGGAGGCTGAGGCAGAAGGATCACAAGTTTGAGGCCAGCCTCAGCAACTTAGCAAGGCCTCAAGCAACTTATTGAAACTATCTCAAAATAAAAAATAAAAAAGGCTGGGGATGTAACTCAGTGGTAAAGCACCCTGTGTTCAATCCCCAATAGCAAAAGAAAAAAGAAATTAAAAGAAAGATGCATAAGGATGAAGTTTTTCTTTTACTTTTTTTTTTTTTCTTTTTTAGGGCTTGGGTGGTAGCTCAGTGGTAGAGTGCTCGCCTAGCACATGTGAAACCCTGGGTTTGAACTCAGCATCACATAAAAGTAAATAAATAAAATGGAAGAGATTGTGTCCATCAACAACTAAAAACAATAATAAATAAGTTTCTTTTTTAGTTGTTGACACCTTTATTTTATTAATTTATTTATATGCAGTGCTGAGAATCGAACCCAGTGCTTCACACATGCTAGGCAAGTACTCTACCACTGAGTCAATCCAGCCTTCTTTTATTTTTTAATATGTGTCATTATTATAAAGATTAGTCACCGAGATATGGGAAAGATGTGTTCATGTATGCAAATATAACTTGGCATAATATGGAAAGAACGTAATATTTTATATATACAGTAATTGCACCATGTGATTTCCTTTAAAAAAAAAAAAAAAAGAAAGAAAGAAAAACCTCCCAGTTACACCTTGCTTTTTTTCAACAACCAATTTCCATACAGGTACAATGAAGCAGAGGTAATTAAATAATATCCTATGCAGTATTATATAACTACCTCTTTATAAAATTAAATAATGGATTGAATTCTTATGCCATATCCTTCCAAATGATTTCCTTAACCTCTGAAAAATCTAATTTGCTTCCCATTACTACTATGGACATTCAATTCATTCTTGGCTTTCAAAAATTCACCTAATTTCATGAACGAGAAGCTTGTCCCCTCACACTTAGTTTGTTTATGGAATATATATCACTTCATTTCAAAAATATTTAATAGCATGTTTGGGATAAAACATTCTACCCTGTTTTCACTGTACTGAGGAAAACAATGTGTCTACAATAGGAATATCCAATCCAAATTTTCTCCAAGTACTACTTCATTTTTCATTTTGAAGAGAATGCCCACCTAAGCAAGATTCAGCTCCATACGTATCTCTACAGGATCAATTTTCTCATAATTTCTAAAATATTTGACTTTTTGAAAAACCCAGCTTCAGAAGTTAGACAGAAACTGCTATTGAAATGGAGGACAAAT